GATTATATTTGATGGTAATGGGGTAGGAAATGTTGGTTCTTCTTGAATTTGAAAGTCACTGTGTTTCATGTTTATATGCCTTTTCTAATATTGTTGTCGTACTGAAGTGTTGAAGATCTTTTAAGTCTTTCTTTTTGTGTCCAGTTTAAATAGGTTCTATGGGATATGTGTTCGGTTTTTTACATTTTAGGCTATTTGTGAATTTTATTGTTTTTAATTGTCTTCTGCTTTCGAGTAGGTCTAGGCCACATTCTCTTTGAATTTTCTCATTGTTGGTGGAAGAAACAGCACCAGTGATTATTTTGGCCGCTTTTGCTTGAACACTGTCTAGTCTTCCTTTTAGTGATGAGCTTGAGGGAGCCCAGACAGGTGTTGCATATTCCATTATTGGCCTTATTAAGGTGGTGTATGTTGTTCTGAGGGTTTTGGGTTTTGCTCCCCAATTTGTTCCACATAACCTTCTCAGAATATTTAGTTTTCTGGTAGCTCTATTTGAGGTGCTAATTATGTGTTCTGTAAATCGCAATTCCTCATCAAGTATCACACCTAGGTATTTTGGATTTCTAATTTTATCAATTATTTGGTTGTTTATGCTTATTTTGGGATTAAATTTATGCCTGTTTTTCCTGTCAGTGGAGAAGACGCATAGGTTTGTTTTTATTGGGTTTATGGTCATTTTGAGTTCCATTGCCCACTTCTCCAGTCCTCTCATTGATGTGTTAAGTATTTTTTCTGATTTTTCTATACTGCTACTTGTGTGCCATATGGCTATATCATCTGCATAACAGGCAACCTTTGTGTCTTCAGTGAGGTAAGGATGGATGTCGTTAATATATAGCAGGAAGAGTAGAGGACTGAGCACAGATCCCTGAGGTACACCAGCCCATGTTCTTCTGTTCTTGGAAAATGCTCCATTAACCCGAACCTTTATCCTTCTTTCCCTTAAGAAGTCTGCAATCCAGATTAAGGCTTTTCCTCTTACTCCGATGTTGTGCAGCATTTCAAGTAATTTCTCCCTCCACACTCGATCAAAAGCTGAAGTCATATCCAGGAATACGGCCGTTGTCTTCTTTGTTGGTTTTTCCTGGAAAGAATCTATTATTGATTGGCAGAAGTAGAACAGTTGATCAGTTGTACAATGTCTGGATCTATAGGCAGTTTGGTAGAAGTTTATTTTATTATTGTTAGTGAGCCAGACTATGAACCTAGAGTGGATGATTCGTTCTGTTATTTTACAAAGTATGCTGTTGAGAGCAATTGGCCGATAGTTCTTGCAATCCTTGGCATCTTTGTTTAGTGTCAGTATTGGTACTATAATTGATATCTTCCAATTCTTTGTTAGTTTACCAGTTTGCCATGAAATGTTCAGTATTCGTAGGAGTTGATTTTTAGCTTTGTCTCCAAAGTGTTTAATCATTTGACCAAAGATTAGATCATCTCCTGGTGACCTCTTGGGATCTAACTTTTCTATTGATGAGTTTAGCTAATTCAGTGTGAAGTCTCTCTCTCTCGAAAAAATATATTGTTGATGGTAATTTCTTGCTTGTTTAACTAACTTGTTTATATTATTTTTTAGAGTCCTGTCTTCATTCGTGTAGTTGAGTCTAGAAGTGCTCGAAAGATATTCAGCAATTATGTCAGCCATCTGTTTGTTCGTTCTCGCTGTTCTATTCATATCGGTTAGAGTATTGGAGGATTGGTGTTGGTTTTGATTGTTTTCTAACACTCTAAATATATTCCAGTGTTGGCTGTCCTTTCTTGGATCCATTTTTTCGCAGAATTCTGCCCATTTTTCTTGTTTGCATATCCAAATTACTTGTTCTATTTTGTGACTAATTTCAATGACTTTCTTTCTGTTTTCTTCTGTTTATTTTTGTTTTGAGAAGTTCATTGAAATTGTCTCTCTCTGTAATCATTGCCTCGATGTTGTGGTCCTTCCAGAAAGGTATCCACAGGTCTTTACGTCTGCCTCTAGGTATCGATGCTTTTGCAGCTTTGGATATGTTCGAAGAGAATTTTTCCAAGTTTTTGTCAAGCGTTCTGTAATTTGATTCTTCGTTGCACAGTTCTTCGAGCTTTTCTGTGAATTTTTTCCAGTCGGCTTTCCTAAAGTTCCATGTTCTTTTATTTTGTTGGACATTCTCAATTTTGAAGTTTAGGGTTGTTAAAATTGGTCTGTGTTCACTGATTGCACTTTTCAGGATTTTCCATTGTGTTGTGGGTGCGATGTTGTAATTTATCGCTGTGATGTCTATTGCGGATTCTGTGCCTGTGGTGTTCTCTCCATTATTTAACGGTGTAAGGTCGAGGTCGGTTAGCATGTCCTCAACCTGCTGACCTTTGTTATCCTGGACAGGTGATCCCCAAGTTGGACTTTTGGCGTTAAAATCGCCAAGTATGATTGTGATATCCGAAGACGCTTCACTTAATATCTCTATCAGGCCTGTATTGATGCTAGTGTTATCGGCGTGATAAACATTTATGATTGTTATTGTTTTTTCTGGGAGGTAGATTTCTATTGCCTGAGCTTCTGTCGTGCTTTCTGCAGGCTTACTCTGATTATAGGCGATTTCCTTAAATTTGATTTCTGGTGTTTTAATCAAAACGGCAAGTCCTCCTCCAAATTTTCCCGGTCTGTCCTTTCGTAGTGTTGTATAATCTTTGATATTGAATCTCAGATTGTGATTCAATTTTGTCTCCTGAGGACAATTAATATGTCATTGTTGTCACAGAGAAGACAAGTCAGCTCTTTATTTTCCTCTGGGTACCATTTATATTGAGTTGTAGTAGATTGAATTGTGTCCTCGTAGTAGATTTCTCATCATGAGCTCGACCTGCAGCTCCTGACGCGGCGGTTACCCCGGACGCGGTAGCATTTCTGGAGATATCGGTTTTGCTCTTCATTGGAAAATGGGTGCCGTTGCCACGTTAGTCACCTTGGAGACGAACCAGAATTTTGTCGAATATTCCAAGGGTCCAGGGGGGACCGCAGGGAGGTGTGGTCGGACTTCTCCCCCCCGACACTTTTAGTATATGTCACATATCTTCCAATTAGTTAGAACCGATGCCTTAAAATATTCTACCATCTATTAAAATATACACCGTTTCTATTTGCTACCACCCCCATATTTTGTATATATGCTATATCTTTATTGATAATGCCTGTAAACCCCTATTTGTATGTAACACTAAAAATGTTGACGTCAAAATAAAAATCCAAAGAGCGGTCAGCTGGGGACAGCTGGGGAGAGAGGAGGAAAATGCCAAAGCCCATGTGAGGCCCCCAGGGACTCTTCAGAGACGACCCCTGAAAACAGGACAAGTTTTGGCAGGGGGTCAGCAGATGTTCTAGAGGGTGGCCATCGGACAGTCCGCTTCAGCCTGTCTCTCACACAGTCTCTCCCTCCATGTCTCGGGGATAAGCATCCAAGTTTGTGTCATGGCCTCTACCTCTGTCCCGTGGGCTGTTCCCGATCACTCTCGGTGTTAACATCTAGCCCTGCCTCTGCTTCTTGTTGTCCGCGTGCGGGAAGAACACCAACACTCGTCTCACGTACACGACTTCCAGTTCATCTATTCGTCGGCACATTTGCAACAATATTACATATATATATCCTTATATCTATAAAAATAAAATCCAAAATCGATGTTTGTTATCGCGTTGCACAAAATCTACAGAATAAATCATTATGAAATTTTGCATGTAGGTAGCTGAAGATTTCGTTTAACATATAGGCTATTCAAAAAACTGAAAAGGTTAATGTGCTTTTTTTAAAATGTAAAACCAAAAAGCGTTAGTTCCATCCTTTACCGTTTGGCGCCGCACTGGTCGCAACGATAAATGAATTTGATTGGTTAATAATTTTACACGTAGTTTGTTATTTTGTTTACACGATGAATGTTTTTAAAAAGTAAGATTATCCAATCGCCGTGAAACTTTAGGAAGTTATTTACTATTTTACTAGGAAAGAATTTTTAAATTAATATATATAATTCATTGAGAAAAAAAAAGAAATAATTAATAACGAATTCACAAAAGTGACAATATTTTTTTTAATATAATAAATGTTTTTAAAACATTATGTGTTTGAAAATATATTTAAACGCATATAACAATATTTATATTTATATACGTTTATAAATCAATATATAGGTGGATTGGATGTTTTCTAGAATCGTTTTAACAAATGTTCGTTAGGCAAACTTTTACTCGGATAAAAACCGGGCGAAGCTGGGTATATTCGCTAAATACAGTTATTTACAAATCTTCGTTTGTGGCAAGATACTATTCCTTCAATTTCAAATTACCGAGTCGACCAATTAATACTGATTTTTTTCAACTTATCGAGTATTTTTTAAGGGACCGGAAAAATGTTCAAATTATCGAGAGTATAGACAAGTATAGATTCAGTAGGGATTGGATGTTTGCTAGAATCGTTTTAACAAATGTTTGTTAGGCAAACTTTTAATCGGGTAAAAATCGGGCGACGCCGGGAACATATATATATATAATATATAACATATAAAGTAATTTTAAATAATATAACGCGGCTAATGATTGTAAAACGAAAATTGCAATTATACCGCGAATGTTTCTTCTAAACAAAAATCGAAATTTATTCTAAAGAGAAATAGCGATTATCTCCAACTCCAAGGATGAAGCATGATAGGATGAACCGTGAAGAGTAAGGACAAACGGAAAAATAAAAGTGTCCAGGGATGGGAATCGAACCCACAGTGTTCCGCTTACCGGGCAGATGCCATGTCCACTAGGCTACCCTGGACATATTTTTCCGTTCGTAAATATTATATAAAGTAATTTAAAATAATATAACGCGGGGCTGATGATTGTAAAACGAAAATTGCAATTATACTGCGAATGTTTCTTCTAAACAAAAATCGAAATTTTTTCTGAAGAGAAATAGCGATTATCTCCAACTCCAAGGATGAAGCATGATAGGATGAACCGTGAAGAGTAATGACAAACGGAAAAATAAAAGTGTCAAGGGATGGGAATCGAACCCACAGTGTTCCGCTTACCGGGTAGATGCCATGTCCACTAGGATCCCTGGACACTTTTATTTTTCCGTTTGTCATTACTCTTCACGGTTCATCCTATCATGCTTCATCCTTGGAGTTGGACATAATCGCTATTTCTCTTTAGAATAAATTTCGATTTTTGTTTAGAAGAAACATTCGCGGTATAATTGCAATTTTCGTTTTACAATCATCAGCCCCCCGCGTTATATTATTTTAAATTACTTTATATAATATTTACGAACGGAAAAATATGTCCAGGGTAGCCTAGTGGACATGGCATCTGCCCGGTAAGCGGAACACTGTGGGTTCGATTCCCATCCCTGGACACTTTTATTTTTCCGTTTGTTTTTACTCTTCACGGTTCATCCTATCATGCTTCATCCTTGGAGTTGGAGATAATCGCTATTTCTCTTTAGAATAAATTTCGATTTTTGTTTAGAAGAAACATTCGCGGTATAATTGCAATTTTCGTTTTACAACATATATATATGTTTGTCGGCTATGCACGCCCTCAATATGTAACTTATCTCGCAGAAATTTGAACAGGACAGAGAGTTAAATCTGGAAGAGGTTTTTTGTCGCACTTCAACCAAGAAAAATTATAATTAACCAAGTACTGAGCAACAATATTTTTTAGTCAGAAATGATAATGACAATATTGCCGTATCATGCTTGATTGACATAAACAAAATTATTTAGGGAATATTCACTAAAGCAATCCATGAGCGGAGCCAGATAATAATTTTTAGTAGGCAGGAACAAAATTCTACCAGCGAAACATTCACTCGAGCAAAAGACACACGAAGCCAGGTCATCTCTATATATAAAATATCGTTCCTTGGCCTTTTGGCTAAGATCATGTAGTATATCTCTAAATATTTTTATTTATATATATCTTTTTAAAAATCTATTCAGTAGAGAGAGTGGTTATGTTTGTTCGAAAAATATATTTTATATCCTTCCTTCCTTTCCTTCCTTTATATCCTTCCTTATATCTATAAAAATGAAATTCAAAATCAATGTTTGTTATCGCGTTGCGCAAAACCTACAGAATCAATCATTATGAAATTTCGGATGTAGGTAGTTAAAGATTTCGTTTAACATATTGGATATTCAAAAAACTAAAAAGGTTAATGTGCTTTTTTTTTAATGTAAAACTTAAAAGCGTTAGTTCCATCCTTTTACCACTTGGCGCAGCACTGGTCGCGATAATAAATGAATTTGATTGGTTAATAATTTTACACGTAGTTTGTTTACACGATGTATGTTTTTAAAAAGGTAAGATTATCCAATCGCCTTGAAACTCTTTGTGAAGTTATTTACTATATTACTGTGAAGGTTTATGGTTTGAATTTGATTTGAAATAAATATTCTTCGCAATTTTATTTGCAAATTTTTTACTTTCACTCGCAAGCAGCGTCTCTGGCGGCATCTGGTGAAATTTCATTTATAAATTGTGAAAATTCTAAAATGTGTTCCAAGTATAATAAATTCAATATTAAATTAGAGAATTTAGTATTATAATATTCCAATGACGTTGTGCAAAAAACTTGGCATTTCAATATTAATATATATTTAAAGAAATTATCATATTTAAAATTTAATAAATGTTTTCAAAAGAATTATGTGTTTCAAAAATATATTTAAACGCCTATTACAATATTTATATGTTTATAAATCTATATATAAGTGGATTGGATGTTTTCTAGAATCGTTTTAACAATTGTTTCTTAGGCAAAATATTATTCGCGTAAAAAAACCGGGCGAAGCCAGGAACATATATATGTATGTCGGCTATGCAAGCTCTCAATATATAACTAATCTCGTGAAATTTGAGCAGCACAGAGAGTTAAACCTGGAAGAGCTTTTTGTCGCACTTTTAACCAAGAAAAATTATAATTAACCAAGTACTGAGCAACAATTATTTTTAGTCAGAAATAATTATGACAATATTGCTGTATCATGCTTGATTGACATAAACAAAATTCTTTAGGGGAATATTCACTAAAGTAGACCCCGGGCGAAGCCAGGTAATAATTATTAATAGGCAGGAACAAAATTCTACCAGCGAAACATTAACTCGAGCCGAAGACACAAAGCCAGGTCACTCTATATATAAAATATCGTTTCTCGGCCTTTTGGCTAAGATCATGTAGTATATCTCAAGATATTTTTATTTATATATATCTTTTTAAAATCTATTCAGTAGCGAGAGAGGATATCTTTGCTCAAAAATATATTTTATATATTATATAAATATATAATGTAACAAATATTATTATCATTATTATCATAATATTCTGTGTGTTCCGGAATATTATTATCAATAATATTCGTTAGGCAAACTTTCACTTTGATAAAACCCGGGCAAAGCCGGGTACACATCCGCTAGTATATATATATATATATGTTTGAAAATAGAGCAATCCATTTATTATATTATTTAAAAATGCCTATTTTGGATCAAAAGGTTTTATTTCCGATATTTCGTGTGGCAACTCGCCAAACTTCTTCGGGGAACAAGATTGTTTTGAATAAGCTCGCGTATCAATTCACGCGTATGTATAACTGCTATAAATTTTTTTTTTTTAAATATCTAAAATCTACAATATGCATGTTTATAAATATAATTAATAATAAAAAAATGATATATAAAATATTAATATATAGAGAATAAATAAATATATACATTTAAAATAAAAGAATTGAAAATCAGTAATTTGTTATATATATATATGTGTGCATAGTAGTGGGCTATATGGTTTTAAATTGTAAGTATAATTGAGGAATGTCTATTTTTCGATTGATACTGTTTTTATCTTCTATTGAGGTCCAGCTTTCTAGAAAAAGTCTTGAATGTTTGTCCTTGATATTTTGATATACTATTTCAGTTGAGTCAAAATTTGGTATGTGGTCCTGTTTCAGTGCGTGGTCTACTAAAAGGGAAAGAGGGCTATAGTTTTGAAGGGCTGTCCGGTGTTGATTGGTTCTTTCTTCTAGAGTTTTCCCTGTCTCTCCTATGTAGGTAGCTGGGCAAGATCGGCACGGGATTCTGTAAATGAGGTTGGATTTTTGACTGTTGTTTGTGTTATGTTTGGTATCGGGATGGCGGAGAAGTGTTTTTAAGTTGGATGGTGTCTGGTATATCGTCTTGATGTTATACTTCTTGAGGGCTCTACTGATTCTTTCGATGCCGTAGCTGTACGGAAGCGTGCAATATGATTTATGAGATTGGCTATTGGAAGGAGGGATGAATGTTGATCTGTAGAATTGTCTTTTGATAAATTCTGTGGGATAACTATTGCTTTGTAATTCATTCATTAGTATTATTCTTTCTTGTTGTACTTTTCTTAGATTATTAGAGCAATGAGTAGATATTCTTTTTGATAGGGTTTTTATGACAGATATTTTATGGTTAATAGGGCCGAATGAGCTGAAATTCAAGTAACCACCTGTGTGAGTTGGCTTGCGGTAAATGCCTGTTTCTATTTTAGAGCTCTTTATCATTCTTAGATATAATTCTCACCAGAAACAGCTCTAAAATAGAAACAGGCATTTACCGCAAGCCAACTCACACAGGTGGTTACTTGAATTTCAGCTCATTCGGCCCTATTAACCATAAAATATCTGTCATAAAAACCCTATCAAAAAGAATATCTACTCATTGCTCTAATAATCTAGAAAAAGTACAACAAGAAAGAATAATACTAATGAATGAATTACAAAGCAATAGTTATCCCACAGAATTTATCAAAAGACAATTCTACAGATCAACATTCATCCCTCCTTCCAATAGCCAATCTCATAAATCATATTGCACGCTTCCGTACAGCTACGGCATCGAAAGAATCAGTAGAGCCCTCAAGAAGTATAACATCAAGACGATATACCAGACACCATCCAACTTAAAAACACTTCTCCGCCATCCCGATACCAAACATAACACAAACAACAGTCAAAAATCCAACCTCATTTACAGAATCCCGTGCCGATCTTGCCCAGATACATACATAGGAGAGACAGGGAAAACTCTAGAAGAAAGAACCAATCAACACCGGACAGCCCTTCAAAACTATAGCCCTCTTTCCCTTTTAGTAGACCACGCACTGAAACAGGACCACATACCAAATTTTGACTCAACTGAAATAGTATATCAAAATATCAAGGACAAACATTCAAGACTTTTTCTAGAAAGCTGGACCTCAATAGAAGATAAAAACAGTATCAATCGAAAAATAGACATTCCTCAATTATACTTACAATTTAAAACCATATAGCCCACTACTATGCACACATATATATATATAACAAATTACTGATTTTCAATTCTTTTATTTTAAATGTATATATTTATTTATTCTCTATATATTAATATTTTATATATCATTTTTTTATTATTAATTATATTTATAAACATGCATATTGTAGATTTTAGATATTTAAAAAAAAAAAAAATTTATAGCAGTTATACATACGCGTGAATTGATACGCGAGCTTATTCAAAACAATCTTGTTCCCCGAAGAAGTTTGGCGAGTTGCCACACGAAATATCGGAAATAAAACCTTTTGATCCAAAATAGGCATTTTTAAATAATATATATATATATTATATAATCTAAAATGCAAATATTTTACTTTTTTAAAACATGTATTTTATTTTCATCGTTGACTCTTCTACATTTTCTTGTTTTGGAGGCATTTTGTATTAGTTTTTTAAAAAATTGAATTAATAATATATAAAATAATTTAATTGAAAATAGGTTAATCCTGCCGTCTAAATTGTTATGATTATTTTGTTTTGTTGTTGAAAAAGATAGAGAATTGAAGGTGCAGTCGTGAAAAAGAAAAGATAGTTATTTACCTTTCAAGTAATTGAAAATTAAAACTACTTGAAAGGCAAATAACATTTTTTTTTCGCGACTGCACCTTCAATTCTCTATATTTTTAAAAAACAAAACAAAATAATCATAACATATATATATATATTTAATTAGAAAGGCATATATTGGATCAAAATATAATTAATTTAACAAT